AGACAGCATAGAATTGCTGGCGGTTACTTACATTGTCCAGCCAGACCTAAAACTGCTTCACTGACTGTTGACTGGCTTACAAGCCTGTTAACTTAGGCAGGTAAATACACACATTTACATATTATTATGTTTCCACATGAACTAGACGTACTTTTCTAGACATATCTAGTCGGTTTCCCGGAAATGTGACTCCGTTTCTCAAGAATTAAACGATATTAACAATATAGGTAGGTACATTTATATTAAGTAGGCAAGGAAACTGATAATGAGTAATGTGTTTTAAATTATGCGAAATTGCCATCGTTATTTCTTTCTCTTTTTTGCCAATATACAGAAATTCATGCTTAATATTTAAAGACGTGTAAAATGAACTGAAAAATCCACCCTTAAATTTAGGCCGCTTTTATAATCACGTTGATCCATACATTCGGCCTTGCAAACGAAAAGGGTCGCATGAAGACAACACAATAATATTTTCAAACAGAGTCGATGAAACAGATCCTGACATAGTTTCGCTGTTATTAATATAATAATCTGAGTGCGTTACCCCAATAGGCCGATAAGCGTGCGGTTAGGCACGACCGGTACGAACAGGTTCAAACGAGATGCGTTGATCCAGATTCGAACGGACCGCCGTGCACCGCACACGGACCAATACACGATAACAATGTTACTTTGTTCCATAGATTTAGTATATAGGTACCTTGTTCCATGACAATTATAAATTCGAAATCCCCACGCGCTTCGGGTTTATGGTGATTTTTTAACGGTTTTATGGCTTAGTAAATAAGAGCGTAGTTATAATAACAATAAATTCATTCATTTAGGTACATTCGAATAGTTCTTTTCTTTGTGTTACTTTACGTCGAGTCTATAATAATCTTGCTATTATTCCCAATAAGGCAAATGAAATAAATACAGTGGAAAAGTTGCATTCAAAACGATATTTTGGTATTCTCATCATACGTAATCATCGTGTACGTCTGTAATATCTGTCACTGTGTCGTTACTGTGAGTCCTACCACAACCTCTTAAAACAATATTACTTTAATCTTACATTGACTTTTCGTCCCGTAACGCGCTTAAAGTAAGCTTATTGTAATGTTAAAACTAAGATGTTTTATTGGAAGCTTTGTATATTTATTTGTGATTATTCATTCACTCAGTTCGTACCATGATGAGACTTTAACATTAAAGTACCTAACGTTGCTCTTATGTCAAATTTAGCAAACTTAAAATAGTTACACGGATGATGCATGGAAACAATATTATTTTCAGTTTTATTGTAATACTGATTTGTAATGATTAAAAGTTAAGTTGAAGTTATTTACTTACATATATCTCTTCAATATTTTATTTATTTTTTATTTAATGGCATATATGAAATAATTTCTCGTTAAATAAAAATACGCGATGTTTATTTGGCGAAACTAACAGTTAACACTAGACTATAGTTCCGAGTTCACAAGTATCAAGACTCAGCTTGTTTTATTTATTTTTCTTCATGAAATGCGGAATAATGATTGAAAACAACGTAATTTTAATAAATTTTATTTTTACATACTTTTCTTTTTTCAACGTCAAAATTCTTTGAATGTAAATAACATTAAGTACTTTAACCTTATACTACTACGACGATTCGGAACATCAAAAAAGAAAGAGATGTCATTATATAGTTCACATAGCGTTATCTCTTTCTTATTTTTTGTAAGGAATAGACAACATTGGGTAATCATTCTTTCTTTCAATCACTTTTGCATTATTACATAGGGCGCACTATAAGTTTTCGGAACTGGCCACTTACATAAACAATATATAAAAAGTAATCACAACATTTGAAAATGGAACTCTTTGACTGTAGAATACAGTTTGTTTCATCTGACTGTCATTTGTTTTTACATTGTGGTGTCATTTTAGAAATTGGTTGTCTACATCACCATGGATTTAACTCAAAAAATTTTCGTAGTTTGATTTTCTACAACTTTAAATGTAATTCAACAGCTCAGCGGAGCTTCGCTCGGCTTCAAACTGCTTTTGGCGATGAAGCACCTTGCAAGACGACTATTTATAGCTGGTTTGCAGAATTCAAACGCGGTCGTGTGAATCTCAGTGATGAATTTCGTGATGGTCGCCCGTCCACTGCTGTGAACAACAAAAACATCGATGCTGTGCGTCGTATGATCAAAACAGGCATGTGACATACCATGAGATTCGGGCATCTTTAGGCATAGGCATGAGTCCAATACAATTAATAATACACAAACATTTGGGTGTGAAAAAGCTGTGCTCTCGGTGGATCCCACACAATTTGACTGAGGCTCACAACGGAGGAGTGGCATAAATGTTTTCGAAATTGGTTCATTCGTATGAAAAGGTACATTAACGCTAACGGAGAATATTTTGAGAAACAGTAAATTCATTTCTGACCTTTTATAGTATTTTTTTTTATTTATTCCGGAAAGTTATAGTTCGCCCCACGTACATTACTTGGTTGACATGTTCGTCATGGTGCGAATATGAATAATATTATTATAAGCTTACTTTAAAATTACATTGAAATAAGATTGTTTTTAGAAAGGTTATGGCAGTAATGTGCTGATGATACTTTTTGCAAATCTGTGTACATATATGCCACAACTTAGCAATTGCCTGGTCTCAAACTAGAGGATTCTCTGTACTATAAGTACCAGAGCAATGAAGTTCACTCTGGGGCACTTCCCAGAACACAGGCCAGAACCAATTTAGAAAAGCTGATTTCCCAAATTGGTCCTACCGGGAATCGAACCCGCGACCTCCGCAGCCAGCGCCCACAGTATAAATCATAATAAAGAGTTTTTATAATTGTCTTGTTTTAATGACTGTTGTCTGTGTTTTGTAATTGTTTATGTTAGTGTATTTAATAGGTATTTAGACATGAGCGCTACGCCAGCGCCGGCAGCAAATTTGCCGCGATGCCGCCGATGGATGTGACCGGCGTAAAATCGGCGTGGCGTGGGTTATTGTACTTTAATGAAGTATCAGCTTCTTTGTTAATTAAGTACTTTAGTACAATATTCAGTGCAATAAAAATTAATTACTCTCATGTCTACGTACATCCTATTCACACTAGATTTAAATTAAAAGAAATTATTTTTATATCTTTGTTTTTAAAAGCATTCTTTAACTTGATTATAATTTCTAACAGTGAACAGACATACCTCCTCAAGCATACGTTAATGTGAAAATTAAATTAAAGGTTGATTTAAATAATGTTCTAGGATTTTTTAAAAATATACAAATAAAAAAAATATAAATATAAAAAAATATAAAAAAAATATACAAATAAGCACTTTAAAAATATACACCACAGCGATTTCACGCTGACCACGCCACCGCGCCGCCGCCCACGCCTATCGAAAATCCGTCAGATGCCGCCGCCGATCGTACGATCGGCGCACACGTCTACAAGTACTCGTATAATAAACTTTACATTCTCTAACGTCGTTACTGCTACTTTAATGCTTACCTTTGCTTTTTCTTTTTTAAGGCAAATAACTTTCTTAAATAATCATAATTTTCTACCAAATTTATCACATATACTTGAAGATACATATCTGTTGAGTTCTACACTAATATTGGTATACGTAGGTGTGTAATCATTAAAGATTGCAGCAATAATCGTCTCTATCAAGTGTAGTTTTAAAGATTGCAGTCTCGGTGGCTCCGATATGTATTATTTTTCGCTTGTGTACATGTAGAACACGTGCTGTTCACGGAATAGATACGTGGTTACTGTGATATTTTTTTTGTAATAGGTACCTCATTGAATAGGTACAGACTGGAGGATGTCAAACCCAAGGCACTGGACTTTGAACCGTTCTTATCGTAATCATAACGTGGTGAATTTAAATCATAAGTGTCAAAGTTGTTGACACTTATGATTTAAAAGTTGCTTTCGGGTGCAACTATTGCAGATAAATAAGGTTTTATAACTCCAATGAAAACATACAAGCAACAACTCATCAATTTACAAATCGCAAATGTGAGCACTGAACCAAATGGTACAAGGTACAATTCACAACAAAATACATCTGTATAACTCTAAACTCTAGTTGTGGCCATCGTACTACTTTTATGCAGTAGAGAGCATTAAAATGTCCAGATGTTCAGTCTCAACCAATTGTTGAACTTAAATTTTTATCTAGTTTTTAAGAAATAGGATCAATTATGATTTCGAATTAACGAGTTTTTACGAAAGTAGTTTATTTTGAGTCCGTTCGTTATGCCCCCGATTTGTTATACCCACGTGGTGTATGCCCCCGATTTTAATAAACTTTGGAACAACATTTTTTTCAGATACCTATCTAGTCTATTTGCATTTAGGACTGTTAACAACTAAAATGTTCCTGAAATGTTTCTCTTCCGTTTTTGAAAAAAAAATCCGTCCATTTATCGTAATTAAGCAAAAACTGTGATTATATTAGGTACTTTAAGTAAAAAGATGATGATTTTGCATGTTCAACGATTGTTAGTATGTAAAGTTAAGGAACAGTTATATTTTGTGAAAACTGACATGTGTATACTTAGGTTTTTTTATTGGCATTTACACTGGTCGATTATGAATGTTAAAAAAAACTTATTTTCAATTGAACATTTATTTTGATATTATGTTGTTGTTGTTACTGTGTAAATAAAGGATTTAAATAATTGTGACTTGTACTTCCCTATTTGATCAAGTGCACCAAAAAAGTTTTTATAATTAAGTTCGTGTCATTTACATTTCTTTTCATAGCGGCTAATATTACATACCTTTTCAATTATATTTTTTAATTTGTAAAAGCATTTTTGTGTCTGCCAGTAAATTTTATTTAAAAAATATTTTAAATTACATTTGTCGCACCTAGCCCAAAACGAACGGACCCTTTATTTTGGTATGTTGTATTACGAGGTTTCAGGAAGTCGACATACTGACGATGTCGACTGCGTGCGACCAGTGACGCCTACGATTGAACATGAGCCTGCGGGGCGCTGCCAGTGGCGAGGCGGCTTCACGCACGCGGGGCACGTCAAGACGGCGGCGGCCGACAGCGCTCGGGCAGCTCCGGCCAGTGAGGCGTGCCCACGCCGCGAAGTTAGACGTGTCGTAGGCCCGTGTTCACACGCTCGCGCCACCGCCCGCCGCGCCCCCGCCGCGCCGCCGAGCCCCTCCACGCATTGCGCAAGCGACCCCGCAGGGGACGTTGCCGCCGATATGGCCAGCGAAATTACTCAAAACTCTATTCTCCGCATCACCGATGAAAAAACTTTACAACTGATCGAGCTCTACGAGCAGGAGTCGTGCCTGTGGAATAGTGACTTGGAAGACTATAAGATCAGAGAGAGGCGAGTCGCCGCAGCGGCGAGGATCGCGAAAGCGCTCAATATCCAGAATTTCGAAGCCAAACATGTCATGATCAAGTTCAAAAATTTGAGGAATTCATACTGCCAAGAGCTCAAGAAGATCGCTAACAGCATAAACGCGCAGAATGCGAAGGTGTACAATCCAAAAGTATTCTGGTTCAGCAAGATGGATTCGTTTCTGCGGCCGTACCTGCAACCGTCGCGCACCACCGGCTTCCTCGTGAGTACAGCTTTTAATTTAATTGGCGACACGGAGTCGTTCTCTGTGACCTTGACCGCGGTTGTGGCTTATAATTACGATCACGTAGCCGGTACGCTTTGAACAATAATGAATTTTTGTTTTTCGCAGCGTCAATTTGAAGATACGGACAGTAGAGAAGAGGGGACTTCTCGGTATGATATCGAAATAAAAAGGGAGGCGTCGGAGGAACCCGAGGACTGGCAAATATCGCACCACCCGAGGGCTGAGATGTTCGATCCGCCGAGCGACGACGACGCGGCGCCTGCGCAGGCCACCCTGACGGGCCGGCTGAGTAACAAACGACCCAGAATAGAGGAGGTACACAGCTGCACGCCGCCACTGCCGCCGTTACATCCAAATCCATCCTTATCTTTATTGAAAAACATTTCTTCCAATTTGGAAAACCTTGTTCAACAACGGGACGATCCGTTGGAGTCGTTCGGGAAGTACGTGGCGACAATGCTTAGGAACCTGCCGCCGGAGAAAGCCCTCGTCTTGCAGCCGAAGATTATAAGCCTCATCACCAACGCCGCCATCGGCAACAGCGACGGGCGAATCAGTCAATCCGATGAGAACGATTAGTTTTTTTTTATTTCAAATTTTCATTACAATCGGAGTGAAGATACGGTAAACAAAGCAATATTTTGTTATAATTATTCATACATCATAACTATTATACATTATATTATAACAAACTTGTGGTTCACAAAAAATGAATTAATATCAATTCAATAAAAAATTTAAAGCAATATTTTTATAAATGCTGATACCACAAGACTTATTTGTATAGAAATAATTATTTAATTATATTTTGAACAGCCAGATATCTGGTTGGTATTTTCCTAATCGTGAACATTGTGATTTAGGTACATATTAAGATATAAAGTGAAGAATAATGACTCGTTTGAACAATTAAGATGACTCTGTGCTATTAAAATAAGTTTAGTCGCAGACAATAAAAGAATGATTTTTGTAAGATTTAGTACTTTTGTATGTGAACGTTTTGAATAAAGAACTGAGTGATCCTTTTAAAAATAAATTTTATTCCTCTATCTTAACAGTAGTTATTAATTCCTTGAGAGATTGCATTTTATTGGTGTTATAAGGGTACTATGTAACAACCACTGCTCAATTAAATTGTATAATTTTTCAAAACTGTAGAGGACTTACAATTGACTTTTTCTTTATCAAATCAACAAATTAATATATTTCATTATCTTTTTCTCTCTGTATTACTTTAGTCAAATGATACAATAATGTAGATTTCAAAGTAATAGGCCATTGTATTTGTTAGTCACGACACTACACGCGATTTCCAGTCGTCCATAAATGAGTTAAAAACACAAATTATACAATGAAAATAATTTACGAGTTTTGCCTACGTGACTCTCAACAGGGTAAGCTCGAGCAAGCGAGATGGAAATACGTCAGGGTATTTGTACGAAAGAGATGTAAGACATAGAGATATGGGGTGCAGCCGGGGGGTGATCAGGTTTGTACCTGTCCGAGGTTTTTTTTTGTCGTCGTCGATAAGTTGGTTTACCCTTTTAGAGAGATAGTGCGGGATCGTGGAGCGATATCGTTGAAATGAAATTTTTGTTGCTCCTCGAGACGCCGATGAAAAGACAACAACCAATTTTTCACAGCTGAGTGCGTTTAGTTGTACTTACGTGAGTTGTTAGTATTAGAAATAAGAGATTCGAGTTGATGTTACGATTGAAGGCTCGAGGCGAGTACAAAGACGTAGCCTACTATTTGCATAACAAAGAAGTAGGTAAGTACAGTCATACTTTGGTGCCTAAATTCGACCTGACCCAAAGGCATTCGCACCAGAAGTGCACCTTTGTTCATATTTCGACTTCACAAAGACTACGTTGTATTAAATACATCATACCCATAAGAAATTCAAGTTATTGATATTTCAGTTATAAGTACTTGTAAAGCAGGTTGAGCAGACAGAAATATAGAAATACAATGTAAGCAATAGTCTCTTGTTGAGACAAAGAGAAGGAAACTATCCGAGAGTTTTACGCCCCAGTAAAGAGCTACAAAGCTTCGGACATGCTTTCTTTGTTAGGGGACGATTTACTTTTTCCTGCGATTATATTGTACATGTGTGTTACACACTAACGTATTAAATGAGTTGTACTCGTATGTACCTACTTCGTGTACTGTGCTTTAGAACACTAACGTCGCTGTTTTGAAAGTGGGTACAGTTTTTAGTCACAATATAAATAACGGGTAACTTAAATAGGCGTGTTGTCATACCATCACACACCCCACTGCTGGGCACGGGTGTCCTCTCAGGCGAAGATTTAGGCCATAGTCCGCCACGCCGCTGCCGCTGGCCCAATGGGGGGTTGCGGACTTCACGCGTTTTCTAAGAGTTGTATACCTTCCTCAACAAATAGATTTTCTTAACCATTAGTGAGTAGTCATAATTAAAGTCATAGGTACATGTCGCCTTAGAATTCGACCCGACGCCCTTTTTTAAGAAAAGCAACCGTCCTGAGAGGACGGCTAGAGTGCGGCTAGGCGACCACCACTCTCGGTGAGTTTTAAATAAAATGAATAAAACAATTGTAACTGTGTAAGTAGCTTTTTTACTTGTTATTCTAGACTACTTTTTCTATGGCGGCGAGCTCCGGGAAATAGATAAACTTATCGATGCCCATACAAATTTGAAAGGTGTATTATATTTTGTAAGGGAAATTGAATTTTTCTTTTAATTTGCCGACGACTCTTGTCCATAATTCATTTATTCATTGTTTCATGTGGATGAACCCTGTTAGGGCACTACAATGTCACTTAACTAATTTTATTATTAATCTCGTACACAAGCTATGTCCTTAATTATTACAATTATGAGATATATTATATTATAACCAATTACAAAAATTCATCACAATAATTAACATTAAAAAGTTAATAAATATTTATTTTGTTATTTAATACATCGCATTGTATTAAATACAGTAAGATCTTAACACTGTTACACAACATGGTCTAACATAAACCCTGTGAGGGCACAGCAGTTTAGCTTAATTCACCATGTGCATTTATTATAATCGACGAACTCCTGCAAATTATAAAAAGTGTTGTTCGCCGTTCAAATTGTTTAGAATTGTGAATATCAAACGTATATCACGTAGTTTGTGTTTACGATACACTACATCAGTCCTTGCACCCTGCATCGAGAGCGAATATTTTTAAACAAAAAGAAAATATTAACCGCCGCTGCTCAGAGGTAAGATCGGATATTACAGTATCGAGTGTACTTATTTCATAGATACAATTTTTCGCCATAAGATCTTGACGATGGAATAATTTTCAGATAGATCAAAAACACTATTTGTGCTTTACTTTTTTTAGAAATAAGTTGGTTTTCTATCAAATCGCCCCTGCTGGTCGAATTCGCGTCATTTGAAAATATAAACATGATACTCGTAGCGACATCTATGTTAATTAATTTGAACCAATTCGTAACTTCTTGCGCGATTATTCTGAAAGTTGTCCTGATATGAAAACAGATACCACAGTGCAACGTGGTGTCTATTTTGTGTGTGCATGTGTTTGGACTTGCTCTTTAGAGGTACACTTCACTTCCCCGCACCGACTTTACATTTGAGTAGAGTAGCGGAACAAAAGGGCATTCAAACGTATTCCAACAAAATATTTCAGCATAATGTACTACCAATATCTTCTAGAATCTCGTTTATTTGTATACATACATAATTTGTCAGGTAGCGCCAATAATACAGAGTGGGCAACCTCTACCTTTCTTCTCTTTAGTTTCTTCTTTGATAATTTTAGAATGTTAACGGGATACCTGACCAGCTAGTAAATTTTCTAACGGGTAAACGTAAAAGAGAAATATGGAAATAGGAATTGTAACAAGAAAGATTATTCAATTTTCCGAGGCCGTGAAAGTGTTCAAAAGAGATGATGAAAGACGATTCAATTAGCGAAAGAGTTCGTCAACCGTCGCTGATGTAATTTCTGAGAAGAGCATACGGTTTTGTGCCAAGTTTTTACCTCGTAGATAGCGTCGGTTGCTATCGGCTGGTGTCAGTGTGAGTTTGGCACTGCGGCTCTGTGCACAGCACACGTACGCACGTGAGACTTATCTCAAGACCTTAAAGTGCAGGGTTGTTCAAAACTACACTCGAAACAAATATTGGAATGTGTCTTTCTTAAAGCACAGATATGTCACAAAGCAATCGAGGTGGTAGTGTCAAGGACATACGTCGTATAATAAAGCCACACGTGACCATTCGTCGAAAGCTTCACTTTTATCACATGACAGTGACAAAGAAAATGCGACCCACATGAAACAAATTATTTATATTATGTGAAATTTTATATCTCTCCTATTTAAGCACATAAAAGTTATCGATCGTCAATTTCGTTTTTTAAACCTCTCTCCTGCAAAGTTGTGATTTTGCAAATGTCACCTTATTACCCAAAGGGTGCAATATGTAAAAGGTTAAATTATCGAAGGCACTTTCAAACATACATAATTACTTTCCTTTGCTAAGCGACGTAATATAATTAAAATTCTACTAATGCATTTCCTTTTCATTTAAATTAATCAAATTGAAATTTTTCTTTGTGTTGCACAGGTTACAAAGGCGTTACACTACAATGCATTTCGAGAAATCCGCTTTGCGGCGTTCAGTTTTTTATTTTTTTATTATGCGCCATGCTCATGCAGTCAGACATAAAAATATAGAGGTAATGATAATAAATTAAAGAAGTTTGTCTAATTAAAAACAAAATAATAAAATATATTTTTTATTAAAAGTTTCCAATATTGTAGAACGTCACATCATTGAGATTATTAAATAATGATGAGAATGTATTTTAATTGCAAATATACTTAAGAGATTTAGAATATTTTTGCATGGTACAGTTTGTAGTTGATCAGAGCAGGGCGTGCTCGTGCGACTGATTTAAAGTAATTCAAATATGTGCAAGGATATCTAAATCAAAATTTTCAACACTTTTAGGTCTGCCTCGCAATGTCTGTATTTTTTCTTTAGGCCGCGTATACCTCCTATAGAATATTTATTATCAAATTATTTATTGATCGAAAAACTGGTAAAAAAGCTGGCAGCCGCCAAACGTAAAGGTGAATTGCTACAAATGATCTATGAGTCTCATCTACAAATAGCAAAGTAACGATGTGATTGCAACAAAAGGGATTGAAAAACACCTTTAGTCGATATTCAGTAGAGTCCGCTATGCGCCCGCGCCATTATACAACACCACCTTCAAAAGCATAATTATTGATCAGTCAGAAATATGCTTTCGGGAAATACCATCGTGAGCTATTTTGGAGATCCTCACATAAATATTATAGTAAATTTACATATAGCTTAGTCTAGGTAAAGATAGAAGAAGGTAGAGACTGTAGCCTTCCATTTACTACTATCCTGACACATAATATATGTCTAAACATATTATGTTTCGTCTCACCAACACGCATTATTGCTTTCACACACGCTCCTCGGTTAAGAGTAGGTATGTACTCTTGTGTCCTTCTTTGGGATATCGTTAAGTAAGTTCGCCTCATTCGGCCCTTACCGACTTGCTCGCTCACGATCGCCTTATAAATCTCCTTCGTCAATTTTCTTTAATTCAGGCTGACCACCAGAGCATCCCCATCTCTATTTTGTCACTACGCCTTCTTTACGACTGAATGCGTCTTGTCACACTCTTCTGTAATTAATAGTGAACAGAAAAGATACAGATCCCCCTGTTTTAAAACCTGTTGTGCCCCTGGCTTGTTTTTTCGTTAAGTGCCCTTTCCGGCAGCTGAACGGCACAAAGCAGCATCGATCGTCTGTAAAAACACATTTTAACTATTGCTCGTTACAACAATAGTAAACAGAGGTGCGTACGGACTGCGTACGTGTC